ATTCTAACTTTCTTCCCATTAATTTTTGGTTCGATATCACTTTACCCCGCTTTTATTTTCGATTGCATTGATTCGCCCCACTGCACGTGAAAAATTGTCTCAATATGGCCATCACTGTTAGTTGTCAGAAATTTGACCTTAACACTGTTTGTGAAATTACAAAAACATCACCTCTCCCAGTTTAAATAATTATTAAAAAAAAAAGCACAAAAAATCAAATAATAAAAAATTCGCCAACTATAATTTTTTTAATTTTTAATTTTTTTTAATAATTATTTAAACTAGGAGGGGTGATTTTTTGTAATTTTTAGGATTAGATCAAACGGTGTTAATGTCATATAGGTCTGAAAAATAACGGCAAGGGTCATATTCAGAAAAAAAATTCAAGTAGAGTGGGACAAATCGATGCAAATTAGAGTAGAAGGGGGTAAAATGATATCGAGCCAAAGTACAAGGAGAAAATTATAATTTACCATTATTTAAAATATATCTTTAAATTGAGTAAACCACGTAATCTTTGACTATATATACTGCTGCATGTGATCGTGTCTTAATTTTTTTTCGTAATATTCGGGCTGGAGTCTTTTAACCTATCTGTACATAATTTCATAATAATCATACAATAATTTTGATCGACAATATTTGGACTTATGTTCCTATTCACGACAATTCTCAATATATATATATATATATAATAGTATCGTATACAGTTGGCTTCTTAAAAATTATACATAAATTCTCATATATAGTTCGATTCTAATATAACAATGGCCTCGTTTGGTTGGGAAGATTAGCCATAATTAAGTAAATAATTGAACTGTTCAATGTTAGAGATATTCCGTGAGTACGTAAAATATGTTTTTCGTTTTTGGACTTGTCTTTTCTATAATTGTGATGACAGTAGAATACCAAAAATTTTAGTGAATTCCGACAAACTATTGTTAGAAATTAAATAAATCAACAGTTGGGGCCTAACACATTGTACTGGACTTAAAATTAGACCACAAAATGGAATCAATAGTTTGGCGAGATGACATGCCTAATAACTAACATCATTGTTCTTCCACATAAATTAAAATTCAAAAAAAAAAAACATGTTAAGTATTGAATTGCGTCGTGCTCAGCCTTCAAATCTGCCCCGTCGAATAACGTGTCGTAACCGAAAGGAGTCTCGAAGGGATTAATGCTTATAAATATGACGTGAAATTTCTTGTCTATACTCGTTTTAAGGAGCCTCTTCCACTACTCTCTTTACTTTATAAGTTAGCTGCCGAATTATAATATTTAAAGATGTTGGAAGAAAATGTATTTTGAAATAATGATTTGAAAAACAAAGTGATTATTATCTGTTTTATGGTGAAGACATTTTTTTTACTATAGCAATCAATTTATAGTTATAAGAGAGAGAGAGAGAGAGAGAGAGAGAGAGAGAGAGAGAGAGAGAGAGAATTTTGCTTATTTTCTTTCTTTTTTTAGAGAAGTTTTTTCTAAATCTAAAAAATATAATGTTATTTCGGGGGAGAGTAAAAAAAATTGTAACTGAAAAGCCTATAACCCCTCCAACATTGTTTTTAAATTCTATAA